ATCTTGCTCCTAGGTCATTGCTACATTGGCCCAAATAAATTCTTACGAATATTCTCTACTGGTTTGGCTGTTCCTATGCCTTATGTTGACGTTGTATATATTTAGTACCTGCTGTGCACTAATGGACCTGGAAAACTATAAAGTTAAAAAAGTTATGGGCTCCATTCATATATTCAGCAAATATCTGTTGAACCAATAATAGGTCCAAGCACTGTACTGTGAAAATAAAGGCGTAAAGAAGATAGTTAATGTAGTGGGGGGGGGGGTGTGTGAAGGACAGCAGCCCTAGAATTCCATGCGACACCTGTCAGTGAGAGCTCTGGGGAAGCAGCCCCTTCGAGAGCTGCTCAGAAGCTGTACCTGCGGCCTGGTGGGAGCCAAGGGGCGTTAACTTGTCTAGCGATGGGGCATGCGGCGCCCACTGAGCTTTATGCTGTGGGGTTACGCTCCAGGGAGAGCCACGTGCATGTTCCCTGTCAGCTGATTCATTCGTTCTTGACGGTTGAGTGTCCACAGTGCCCCAGACTCCGTGGTCAGTGCTAGAGGTGCCACCGTGAGCAGTACAGCCAGGGGTTACGGCCTCTCCTGTACCCTCAGTCATAGCGAGACGGGCTCAGATATGGTGGGAGCACCGAGGGAGGGGGCTTTCCAGCGCAGGTGAAGTCTAAGCAGAGGCCCGCAGGAATTCCTTAGACAAGGGAGGGGCTGGGGCAGAGAGTCCATTGTAACTGCAGAGTGTGTAAGAGGCAGGAGGCTGAGCGCACAGGCACCGAAGGTAAGATGCGGTCTGGGGATCCATGGAAGGTCTTGCAAGCCAGCAGCTTGGACCTTCTGTGAAAGGAATAAGGAACAGTTAAAGAGTATTGTTTTTAAGTTTTAATTCAAGCCTCTCCCGGAAGGTCTTTGCTCCTGGTGGCAGTGTGGGCAGATGTGCAGTTATCTTTAAAAGACGACTCCGGCTGCTGGGTAGGAAGTGGACTACAGCAGTGGGTGCGCTGCAAGAATTTTTAAACATGGAGAATCCATCTAGTCAGCGGCACTGGCCTTTTTCCCCTTAGATTGTCAAATGTGAAAAATGACAATAGCCCTGGCAGGGTGGCTCGGTTGGTTGGAGTGTCCTCCCATAAACCGAAAGGTCACGGGTTCGGTTCCCGGTCAGGGCATAGGCCTAGGTTGCGGGTTCCATCACTAATCAGGGCGCGTAGGGGAGGCAGTTGATTGATGTTTCTCCCTTTCTTCCTCTCTCTCTCTCTCTGAATCAATGGATATATACTTGGTTGAGGATTTAAAAAGAAAAAAAAAAGACAATAGCCAACACAATAGCTGTTAGGTATGAATGAATCAAAATTATAATACAATTTTTTTGTCAGATTGGCAAAAAAATACATTTTTTTTAACGTGCCACAGAATTTTAGTAATTAGTTTATGTGTTCTGTGAGAGGAAATGGGTTGAATATCACCAGACTAGAGGGATCAAAGAAATGAGGTGGGGGAAGAGGGAGTGGCCGTTGCCAAGGACGGAGAGGCTCTGAGCTAGGGTGACAGAAGGTAAATTTGAGAGCTTTTAGGAGACAGGGCGAGCAAGTGCAGAGAGGCCAAGTCAAGGGTACTGCCCAGGTTTCTGGCTGCGGCAGCTGGGTTGGTAAACGGCAGGGCATTCACTGGGACGGGACACCCAGGAGGAGGAGCAGATTGGGTGGGGGGTGGGGGAGAGATGGGTGTGGGTTTGAAAGTGTTTGGGGTACCAGCAGGACGTCTGAGTAGGTGGCCAGGTGGAGCTTCAGACCCCTGTCCTGGATAGGAGGCCGTAAGGGGCGGTAGAAGGGTGGACAGGAAGGCGGTCACAAGTGTGGGTAGACGGGTGGGGACTAAAGCCGTGGGAGTGGGTGAAGGGGCATGGGAGCATCTTCAGGGGAAGAAGGGGAGCGTTTCTATTCAAAGTAGAGAAGTGGGGGGCAACCCCTGAAGCCAGAGGAAGAGGGCATCCCCAGCAGAAGCCAGTGGTGGTCAGCATGGGACCATCGCTCAGCAGCTGAGTGCCCGGGTGTTCACTCAGACGGGGAGTCTGCTGAGAAGAGCCTGAGCTTTGAGTCCTGGCCAATAGCTTCCAACCCTGGACTTAGGACACATTTGCCACTTCTGTGAGCTCTAGTTGCACTTGTTAAGTGGCTTTAAACATGGAGCTCTTAAGAGCGCTGTGAACTTGTTGAGGTGACGGGTGTGGGTGCCTTGCCCAGCGCTGCTCTAGGAGCATGGGGTGCAGGAGGGTTGGCACAGTTAAGATGGAGGCCGCTAGGATGGATTTTGGGGCAGACTCCGACTGAGGGGTCATCCGCAGGACTTGGTCCCGAAGCAGTGGGTAGACTGAGGAGTCTCATGTGTCTCCCAGACTTCCCATGGGATATCCCAGTGTGGATTGGAGAGGAGGCAAGTGCACAGAGAGCTGCCGACTGTGTGCCCATTTTGGAGTGTTGCGTGTCAGACCCCCGTGTGCCGATGGGAGGTGGAGAAGGCATGGGAAGGGGCCTCTGAAGAGAGCTGCCCTGGGCCGGAGGTGTGGGTGTCGTTGTCGGTGCGCAGTGTGGTGTGGGTGTGAGCAGGGCGAGGCTGCCTGAGAGAGCAGCCAGAGGAGATAAGAGGAGCACCAACTTCTGCAGGAAAGAAGGCCCAGCAGGGCAGCTGCTGAGAAGAGGAGGGAGAACCCCAAAACTGAGAGGTCCTGGGGAAAGGAGGGAAAACGCAAAAGCTGAGACTTCTCGGGAAGAGGAGGGGAAACCCAAAAGCTGAGAGGTGAGGCTGTCAGCTGTTTCAGATGCAGCAGGGAAGCCAGGTAAGAGAAGGATGTAGGTGGGGCGGGTCCTGGGACGCAGCAAGTCTTGGCAAGCACCCAGGGCAGCTTAGGGGAGAGACCTTGGCGGGGAAGAGAAATGATAGCCTGCGGTCAGGCCGGACAGATCCGGGCTCAGGAGCTTGTTTCCAGGCGATGTAGGAGATGCTACTGGAAGGAGGGGCGGGCGTGCAGGGGAGAGTGGCTCACTGATGCTGCGAAGTCTCCGGTGAGGCGCAGAAACACAGCGCTTGTGGGGACCCGTGTTAGCAGAAGGAGCCGGACACCTGTCCTTGGGCAAGAGGGCTTTGCGCACTGACACAGACCTGTCAAAGTACACATTTTGCTCGGTGTCACTTGTCTTACCAATGCTACCACCTTTTGATACGTTCACAAGCTACCTGAACGTAGTTATAAACTCCAGTATTTCCTGTCTGAACTTATCTAGTCCTTTCCCCAACAGTCTTTTAAGTAAGTCCAGTTGTGACTTGAGGCTGGCTGGGTTGCTTGAATGTGGGATGATCTCTCTTCTCTGGGAAACAAAGATCACAGATTACGAACATTTTGGTTAAAGGCAACTTCATATTCATCTTCATAGTGTTTTGGGATCACAGCATGCCATTTATTTAAAAATAATGAGGGAAGCCCTGGCTGGTGTGGCTCAGTGGGTTGAGCGCTGGCCTAGGAACCTAAAGGTCGTCGGTGAGATTCCCAGTCAGGGCACCTGCCTGGGTTGCGGGCCTGGGCCCCAGTGGGGGACGTGCAAGAGGCAACCGATCGATGTATCTCTCACATGTCAATGTTTCTCTCCCTTTCTTTCTCCCTCCCTTCCCCTCTCTCTAAAAAATAAATAAGTAAAATCTTTAAAAATGATGAGGAGAGAGAAGACCTTTTTGAATGGAGCTTGCCTTCTTCATTCAAAGTGTCTTCCTTTGGAGAAGGCATTTCCTGATTGGATCTTTTCTCACAGTATTTCTTAATTGTTTATTTATCAAGGGAAACAATTCTTTAGCTCAAATATTCGTGTTTCATAGGTCAGGGTCACGGGTCAGTGACAAACTTCCACAGAACCCACCCCAAAGAAATTCTTGGCATTCCAAAATCACTTTGCTTTCCGAAAGATATCAGCCTTCCTCATCTCTTCAAAATTGGTCATGGAATCATAATTTCTGTAGAAGTCACTGTATGCCAGCTTGGTTCAGCTACAGCAAACTTAACAGAAAGCTGCAGCCCCCAGGGATGATGCAATGATCTCTCCAACAATAAGGAAGAGCGGGTGCTTGGCCAGACGGCCACACAGCTGAGGTTTTGTCAAAGCACAGGAAGGCATGTTTGTTATGTTTACCATAACACCAGCCAGCCATCCATCCTGGTGGAGAAATGAATGACCTCTCACTGGATTTTTAAAAGTGCCTTTTCACAACTATGTGTGATTGAGGCTGGATCCTGGGACAAGCTGTTGAGGTCCCTGGAGCGCCCCTGGGGGAGAGGGGTACAGTTAATTTTGATGGAGCCTGCCCATCCCAGTGGATCTGCCAGTGTGTGGGGCTATCCTGGCGTGAAGGAGAGCTTTCCAGCCCAGGAAAGGCCACTGGTCTGCGCCACGCACTGTGAGCTACCTAAGTTTCAGAGAGATGTGTGGGTGTGAGAGAAGGGGAAGTTTTAAATTAAGAAAATCCACAGATTTCACAGGAAGTGACACCTCTGTCTTATGTTGCTGCCGAGCTGCAGGTTTCGTTTCCTTTGCCTTGTCCCTGTAAACAGCTACAGGTTCTGTAGCCTCGGGAGCCTGGAACCCAGCTGTTCCTAGTTGAAACACCATGTTCAGTTGATTTTGCTTTTGTGACGATAAGGAGATGGGCAATAACTTTTATTGTGGGGACACAGGGGGAGGTGTGGTTGGTGACACAATTCACAGATGGAAATAGACCACCTATGGTCTCTTATGTTGCTCAGTAGGAGCACAGATATTATCAAAACAGACCAGAGAGCTTCCCCTTGCAGCGCACTGTGCTCTCAGCCACCTGGAGGTGCTGTGCGCACCTGGCCATGCTTTTCCCTCCTCTGCAGTGTGATGACAAGGCGGGGCATCACCAGGTGAGCTTCTGGGGGACCCTTGCACAGGTGAGGCCTGCTGAGGCGGAGCTGCTGACAGTGTCCCCTTGTCCTGCAGTTGCACCCGGTGATCAAAGCCTTCCTGTGCGGCTCCATCAGTGGCACCTGCTCTACCCTCCTCTTCCAGCCCCTGGATCTCCTCAAAACGCGCCTGCAGACTCTCCAGCCCTCAGCCCCTGGGTAAGGCCTGCTGTGCCTGCTTCCCTGAAGAACAGCTTTCAGCAGCTTCTCAGTCTGGGGAGCATCTGTCCTGTGCTAAGTCAGCTGGGTGCTCACAGGGGAACAGGCCAGGCCCAGCTTTCTTGGTTTTTATGTGTGCTTTTTCCTGTGAATGCTTTTTACATGAATGTAATTTATTGTTAATTAAATGGGGTTCTTCCCTGAGCAGCTTCCTGGGATCTGCGTCAGGGACATTTGCGCGTTATTGTGCTAGCCTGTAATGCCGGGACTATGCAGCAAGTATTGAGTGTCTTTTGTGTCCCCATATGGGGTTCAGCACCATGGGAAGTGTACGGTACATCTCAGGGGGAAGGCTATAAACCAGAAGGTGGCCCATGGCTTGCAGTATGAATGGACAGATGAACACAGAGGTGTGAAATCATGACACGGAACTCCCAGCTTCCAGGGCGCATTGCAGAGATAATTAAGGGCTCCAGGAAAGTGCCCACATGGAGAAGCCTTCGAGTGGGGAGTTCTTTTCCGGGAATGTGGCCCAAGTGGTTTTTCCTTCCCTGCCTCCATGTTGTCTTCTGCCCTCAGATCCAGCCGCATCGGGATGTTGGCTCTGCTCCTGCAGGTGGCCCGCACCGAGAGCCTCCTGGGCCTTTGGAAAGGGATGTCCCCTGTAAGCTGCCCTTCGGGTCCCCTCTTGCAGCCTCTCCTCCATAGCTAGCCGTTTCCTATCTCCCTCACTGTCCTCTCCTCTAAGCAAGCGGGAGCGTTGGGGGAGGTGGGAGGACCTCCGGGGTCTGCCCGTGTCTCCTGCTGCTGCTGACCTCTGAGTGAGGGCTGGGGACTGTGCCGCCCGTACCTGACAAGGCCTTGCTCCTGCGTGCTGCGCAGTCCTAGGGCAGACAGAGCTGCAGCCAGATCCTCGCCCTTGCCCTTCAGCGCCAGAGGGCTGAGGCCTCCGCAGCGGGGTCTCTTTGCCTGGAGGCTTTTTCTGGCCTTAGGACCTCACTTTGGAACGACTGCTCGCCCCAGTGAAAAATGAGAGTTGGTGTTTAGATCTCACTCCTCCTCCCTACACGTGGGGCAGTAACTGATTAGGTAACACACCCTTTAATCGCTGCCTCCCAGCTCTCCTATGGGTGGTGCCCCCGCCACACACCTACAATCAACTAGTTGGATGCAAATCCTGGGTTCTTTTGGGGAAACCCAGTTAAGACAATACCTTACAGCGTGGGTCTTTAACTTCTTTCCTCTTCCGACTACCCCCTCACCCGCCAGTCCATTGTGAGATGTGTCCCCGGCGTTGGAATCTACTTCGGCACCCTGTACTCTCTGAAGCAGTACTTCCTGCGAGGCCACCCCCCCACCGCCATGGAGTCGGTCATACTGGGGGTGGGCTCTCGCTCAGTCGCAGGGGTCTGCATGTCGCCCATCACTGTTATCAAGACGCGTTACGAGGTGAGTGGATCACTTTAGGCCTTCAGGTGGGGAAACAAAGGCATGGGGCTCTGGAGTCAGGTGGCCACTGAGGTCGCCTCACCTCCCAGTTTATAAACTAACACAGAGGCTGAGGTGGCCAGAGAGCCCATTTGTGTATGCGGTGCCCAGGTAATGCCACCTACCCTGAAGTGGGCTTGGCTCAGTGCTCAAGCCCAGGGCGGCGTGCGAGTCCCAGGTCCTGTGCTTCCTTTGCAGAGCGGGAGGTATGGCTATGAGAGCATCTACGCAGCCCTGAGGAGCATCTACCGCAGCGAGGGCCACCGGGGCCTCTTCAGTGGCCTGACAGCAACGCTCCTTCGTGACGCGCCCTTTTCTGGAATCTACCTAATGTTTTACAACCAGACCAAAGACCTCGTGTCCCCTGGTATGGATAAAGGAAGGTGTGGTGGGGAAGGGATCTTCCCAAAACGGAGTCCCACCACTTTCTCTGTGACTACTTGTTGGGACTAGGAGACTGTTGCTTTAGCAGCCCCAGGTCCTGAGCAGAGGTTTAGGAACTGAGCCTGAGCATTGTGGGGCGCAAGGGCTGACTCCCTGCCACAGTCGCAGTCCATGGTGAGGTGTGTCCCTGGCGTTGGGACAAGGCAGACGTGGTCCCCGCCCTATCAAGTTTAGTTTTTGGAAAGGGATGCACTATAATTTTTGAGTGGGGAATGGGGTGGAATAAAGCACTTTTACATAGGTCCTGCAAGAATACTCCCTAATTTTGCCTGGCCTTCAGATTGCTGGGTCCCACACAAGATCTCCTAAATCAGACGCCGGTAAGACCGGCATATTTTTCAAGATGCACTTGATGTGACTCATTTTTCAGGCAAGTTTGGAAAACGCCACATGGTTAGGAGCTGAAGGAAAAATACTATTTTTACCACCCTTGAAAGCACAAAGCAATTAACGTGCTTCGGGGCCCTCCGTTTGGGTGGAGAGACCGGAGCTAGCCCTCAGGTATTGTGGCAGGGCCGCCCTGTTGAGACAGGACCCGAGCAAAATCAGTGGCTGGTGAGCATCCACGCGTGCAGAGCCAGGCATTGACAGAAACATCCTGTGGAACGATCCGCGTCCAGTGTGGTGTCTGTGGATGATTGGAGCAAAGGCTTGCACCCAAGGCCATGGAGCTGGGAGGGCTGGGGAGGCAGCATCGGGACTGGCGACAAGCTGCAGCTGGGGCGCGGGGCGATGAGCCTCCCCCCAGGCACCCGGAGGTGTGACGGTGCGGGTCGCAGCCGTGCGTCACAGCACAGAGTGAGGCAGTAAGGGACCTTGGATGTACATTGTTACGCTCTCAACCTATCTTTACAGGTTTTTTTATTTGGTATTAGAAATCATTTTAAACTCACAAAAAAGCCACAAGGATAATACAAGTAATGGCATAGTCCTTTATTATTCTCTATCTGTGTGTATAATTGTGGTTTTTTTTTTTTCCGAACCATTTGAGAGTAAGTTGTAGACATGTTGCTCCTTTACCCTTAAATAACTCTGTGTGTGTTTCCTAACAACAAAGACATTTTTATGTGACCATCTTACCAGATTCAGGAAGTTTAACTTAGATATAGTTCTTTATTTATTTTTGCGAGAAGGAACGGGAGGGAGGGAAGCATCAATGTGAGCAAGAAACACTGATCGGTTGCCTCTTGCATGCCCCCTGACAGGAACCAAACCCGTAACCCGGGCGTGTGCCCTGACTGGAATCGAACAGCAACCTTTTTGCCTTGCGGGATGACGCTCAAACAGCTGAGCCATGCCGGCCGGAGGGCAACATAGATATAGTTCTTTGAAGTCCAATTATAGTCTTAATTTCTGCAGTTGTTCCAACAGTATACTTTGTAGCAACTTTTTTATTTTCCACAGTATAGACCAGTTTCATGATCTCAGTCTGGGTTTTTCTGATGTTTCCCTGTGACTAGATTCAGTTATACATTTCTAGCAAAAGGACCTCTTAAGCGATACTGTGTCCCCAGTGCCTTACATCACGAAGCTCATGACATCGGTTTGACTCATTGTGGGTGATGGTAACTTTTTATTGTGTGCATAAGATAACGTTTCCACTGAAAACTCGATTATTTTTTCATTTGTAATTTGTAAGTATCTCTGAGGGGAGGTACTTTGAACCTGTATAAATCCATATAAAGTATTCTGTTCCTTTCATCTGTTTGTTTGAGCATCAGTCATTGTTTCTTGCCTGAATCAATTCTTATGTGACGGTAGTAAAAAGATGAAATTTTCACTCCATTGTTCCATCTACATTTATTAGTTATACCTTTAAAATTTTTAATTCTTTTTTTAAAAATTTTTATTTATTGATTTGAGAGAGAGAGAGAAACAGATTTTTGTTGTTCCACTTATTTATGCATTCATTGGTTGACTCATGTGTGCCCTGATCAGGGATCGAACCCACAGCCTTGGCATGTTGGGACAATGCTCTAAACAACTGAGCTACCTGGTCAGGGTAAAATTTTTAATTCTTAACCTTGTTTGACTCTAGACCTTCTGGCTTTGAGGAAGAATTAGTGGGCAACTTGGCATTGATACTTATCTGTTGAATGTGAGGTTTAGGTATAACTGAATGTCACCTTTGTCTTATTTCAGACCAGTTGGATGCAGCCCTTATTCCCGTTGTAAATTTCAGCTGTGGGATATTTGCTGGTATCCTGGCCTCCTTGGTAACTCAGCCTGCAGATGTTATCAAAACTCACATGCAGCTCTCCCCAATGAAGTTTCGGTGGTTTGGCCAGGCAGTGACAATCATCTTTAAGGTAAGGCAAAAGAATCAATGTTCGTTCTTATTGTGGTTAAGCCTCTCTCTCTAGAGTGCAGGGTCCGGCACAAATAGTGTCCCTATTTTATTACATAAAAATCTCTTACTACAAAATCATAAGCATGTAATTTTGTAACATAACAATATCACACGCAAGCACAACGTATGGCATTTTAGGTAAAATGTTCAAATTGCTGTCCATCTCGTGTGAGACATTCACGTACCCTACCAGCCACACTCAGTGGCGTTACTTCTGCCAGACACTGCAGTAGTAACTCTTATTCTTTACACAAGAGAATCATGTGGGTAGCTTTTAAAAAATCCCCATTCTGAGGTCATACCCTGGACTCACTGCATCAGAACATCTGGAGGGCGAATCCCAGGTATCAGTGTTCTAATCTCCCCAGCAGATCCAATGTGGTACGCAGGTTGAGAACCACTGCTAAAAACCTGTGGGTTTTTCCAGGGGGCAGGGCACAATAGGACAATCTATGATATTTGTTAAGGGTCCCACCCCAGGCCTATTGAATCAGGTGATCTGGGGCGACCTAAGGATCTGAGCAAGGACCTCGGAGGAGATACAGTAAAAAACAAAACAAAACAAAACAAAAAACCAAAAACCCCACACACACATCATTTGGTTTCTAGCTGTTTGCTCTCTTACAAATGTTATTACTGAAGATCACAAGTAGAGTAGATGTAAAGTGCACTAAAGTGCTATTGAAAAACCACTGAGTTGGCCCTTGGCAAACGTGCACTGTTTGCCAGATACTCTCGTGCGTGGTAAATTTGTCAGCTACATCTTTGGATTTTTCTGTATTCTCAGTTTTCTGGCAGGGGAGATGTGTGAGCGCGTGCAGGAAGTGCCTGGTCCGCCCTGGACACAAGCGAACGTTGGTGAATCTGATCACACTCCTCACACTGCTTAGCTTGCCCGCTTTCTTCTTCTCTTTATCTAAAATCATAAAGTTTGAAATATATTCTTCAGTATATGTGCAAATGGCAGGAATGAGAACAGTAGGAATGAAGAAATCCTGCATATTATGAGGGAGGAATATGACAGTTTTTGTCTTTAAATTCTTATATAGGGCCACTAAAAATATATAGTGAATTACTCTCCTCGCCACCCCCCCGCCCCCCGCAAAAAAAGAAATATTCTCTCTAGGCAGAGAAATTGCCAAAAAGGCACCTTTTCCCTTCATCCTGGAGCCAGGGCCCAGGGCTTGGTGAGCAGCCCCTGGTCCGGATTCCAGCTGCCACTTGGGGCCTGGTGCTGTGTGCACTGAACCAGCTGAACACCTGGACCCAGCAGCCCTGTGTAAAGAATTTCAGCTAAGAAATGAATCCCCCTTGATAGAGCAGGCCTAGAAAGATAAGGTTTAGCCACTATGCAAAAAAAATTTTTTTATGTTCATAGTCTCCCTGGACCCATTAGTCATAGTTTTGACGTTATTTAGGAAAACCTAAAAACTGAGACTCCAAAATGGGGTAACAGAGAGGGACCCTTGCTCTTGTGCCAGGTAAAATCGTATCGCTACTTAACAGAGCACTGGCATTCATTTTCCTCCTAGGACTACGGGTTGCGTGGCTTCTTCCAAGGCGGTGTCCCCCGGGCCCTCCGCAGGACCCTGATGGCAGCCATGGCGTGGACCGTCTACGAGGAGATGATGGCCAAGATGGGCCTGAAGTCCTGACCGCGAGAGCACTGGGAGAAGATAGGATCTGTTGCCCTGCCTGGTTTCTGCCGAGGGCAGCTTCGTCTCACTGTCCTGGAGTGGGCTGGAGTCCTATCTGGAAAGCCAGGCAAATATGTCACCTTGTTACCCAGTTCAAGTAGAGAATAGATGGGCCTGACTTAAGCCTTCAGAATCTCCCAAAAGAGGAATCACTGATACTTACAGCACATTGGGCAGTTAGGAGGAGGGTTTTCACACCCTGCAAGGCTACCTGAAAGCATTTCCCGAAAGGGAGCTCTGTCAGGGTGATCCCTGCTTCAGCCACCCACCTACACCATGGTGCCTCTTGGGATCTGTTCTTGGGCAGGGCATCGCAAAGCAGGAGAAGCGGTGCGCCACCCGCTGGGGCTGACTAACTCCAGCCGGGGGTGGGGTTTCTGCAGAGAGGAGTCACTGCCCCCAGGCTGGAGTCCACCTCTGCAGCGATAGGAGGAGGAGGAGGAGGAGGAGAAGGAGGAGGAGGTGTCATTACTTAGTTGGTTCCTCATCAACTTTTCAGAGGCCCTACGGAAGGCGAGGACAGTGGCTTTCTCGCCTCTAAGTGTCCAAATAAAGTTTACGACTGTCTTGGCCTCGGCACTGTTTCAGCTCCGAGTTCTGGCATTTTTCTGCAGCTAAAGTTCAGATAAATAAAACGAAGCACTTTATCACTGAAAACTTTTTGGAAAACCTACTGTGACCACTCTGTTTTAGGACCTGGCATGTTTTTAAAGACTATTTTTTTTTTTTAGAGAGAGAAGAAGGGAGGGAGAAAGAGGGAGTGAAACATTGATGTACGAGAGATACATCACTCAGTTGCCTCTCCCATGCCCCCAGCTGGGGACCTGGCCCACAACCCAGGCATGTGCCCTGACGGGGAATTGAGCGAGCGACCCTTGAGTTTGCAGCACAGCATCCAATCCACTGAGCCACACCAGCTGGGGACATTTTTAAACAGTTCTATTTTACTTTTTGTCAAGTTACCCATATCAAATACTCAATTCAGTGATTTTTAGTAACTTTCCTAATAGTACAACCATCACCCTAAATCCATTTTAGAACACATTTATCCCACCCCAAGACCTCATTTACAATTGATCCTCATTCTGAACCCCAGCCACACTGGGGCGGCCACTGATTTGCTTTCTGTCTATAAATTTCCCTTTTCTATATACCTCACGTTAATGGGGTCATACACTATGTAGGCTTTTGTGCCTGGCTGCTTTCACTTTGCATAAAGTATTTGAGGTTCATCCATGATGTGGCATATTGAACACTTTGTCCTTTTTTATGGCAGAATACTATTGTATTGTATGCCTATAACATATGTTGTTTATCCACTCATCAGTGGACTAATATTTGAATTGTTTCCACCTTTGGGCTCTTATTAATGATGCCACTATGAACATGCATGTACACGTTTCTGTGGACATTTTTATTTCTCACATATGAGGTCTGTCCAGAAAGGATCCAGCCATGTACTATGCAAAAGAGACATTCATTGAAGAAGATACAAGATAAAAGAAACATACATAGGACAGCAACACCTCAGTCCCCTTCCAAGCAGGTGCCTTGGGACCTCACGTAGTTCTCTCCCAATTGCCATTAGCGCCCCCGTCGTATTTTCCTGAATCTCATTGACAGGCTGAAGTCTCTCCTCTTTCAAAGGTGATTTTAATTTTGGGAAAAGTCAGAAGTCACCAGGTGCCAAATCTGGGCTGTAGCGGGGTGAGTCACCTGGGTGATTTGAGGTTTTGCCAAAAAACTACATGAAACATGAGATGAGCGGGCATGTTGCTGTGAGGAAGCTGCCCATCACCAGGTGCCCACAGCTGCAGCCTCTGCATCATCCCAATAGTTTCCGCAGAGGAATGTTCAAGCTTAATGCAAAATTTGATGCAGATTTGTTGCTCTACTTGCTCAGTCATTTTGAATGTGACAGCCACACAGTACACATGCTCACTCAATGGTGTCTGCCGCACCCGCTGATGAGTATGGTGAAGTTGTCACTGTTCACACACGTGCATTCCAGCCCACTGTCCTTGGCTGCCAGTTTACGCCAATGTCACACAAACCGTTCTCGTTATGTTATCAATGGCTTGACTTTTTCTGGACAGACCTTGTACATTTTCATTTCTCTTGCAAAAATAGGTTTACATAATACAAATAGTACAGTAATTAATACATAATACAAGAATAAGCTCATGTACTCATAACTGTAAACCTACCTTTGCCTACAGCTATGCCTAGGAATATAATTGCTGGATCATGTGTTAACTATGCTTACTCATTGAAGAAACTACCAAACTATTTTCCAAAGTGGTTGCACCATTTTACACTCCCAGCAAGAGTGCGTGAGGATTTCAATCTCCCACATCCTCCTCTGCACTTCTTACTGTTTTATTTATTACAGCCATTCTAGTGCGTACCCAAATTTCTCTTCAACTTTCAAGTTCTGGAAAGGGCCATTACTTTATCCAAACAGCAGGAAGGGGAAGTTTGGGGTGTGGTCCAGGCTGCCCAGATTGAAAGCCTAGCTTTCTACTTATTAGACGCCTTGAAATGTTGTAGGAAATGAGGATAGTAATATCCTAATCCTAGGGTGGTGGTTAGGGTTAAATGAGCAAATTGTGTTAGTTTTCTAGGGCTGCCAAAACAAATTAGCCCAAACGAGGTGGCTTCCAACAACAGAAACTTAGTTCTGGATCCTACAAGTCTAAATCAAGGTGTCAGCAGGGCCGTCCTCTAGGCTCTAGTTCCTTGTCTCCCAGCTTGACTGGGAGGGAGGGAGGATGAGGAGAGAAACATTGATCAGCTGCCTTGGTATGCACCCTGACTAGGGACTGAACTTGCAACCTAGGCACATGCCCTGACCAGGAATTGAACCTATGATCTTTGGGTTAAGGGAACTACTCCCCAACAAACTGAGCCACAGTGACCAGGGCCGAAATGGCTCCTGCATCTTGATTACATCTGCAGAGACTCTTTCCAAATAAGGTCACATAAGAATTGGAGGTTAGGACTTCAATGTCTCTTTTGGGGGGACTCAAATCAACCCATAATTCATGTTAAGTTCTATGATTTGCAAGTTTAAGTTTATACTTTAGGTTTGAGGTTAAAATGCCCTATTCAAGAAAAATGACATGGGAGGAATAGGAGAGAATCGTAGGATGCTATTCCCAGCGGCACCCAAGTCCCCAGAGCCTGGTGTTGTGCTCCTAGGACTGGAAATGCTGTGCTGTGACAGGAATGAAGGGAAGGTAGATTAACAGACAGAGTGGCTGCCTCCTAAGAACTTAGGCTCAGCCAGGGTGTTCAGGTCCTTTCTCAGGGCCTCCCCCGAAGTCTCCTTTGAGCCTTACCTGGGGTGGGTGGAGCCGAACGTCAGGGAGGCCCCGCGGAGGGGAGGGCCAGAGTTGAGGCCCAGAGGCCTGGGCTTGGACCCCGTGCAGATTTGCCCACCTTACACCTGGGTGGTGAATTTCAGCCACCAGAGACCTCTCCATGCTCTATACTTGTTCTCTTTGGGGCAAATAATCGTAGGGTTGGAGAAATTGTCTAATTTTCTGCAAACACAGGGTAAAACTGAAATTTGCCTTTGTGAACCATGATTTCAAAGCCAAGTGACCCTGGGATCTGCATATCCCAGGCATCAAGGATTTGTTTTTTTCTGTCCTGCAGTCTCCCACGAGTATTAAACTTTCGACAGGAAGTGGCTGGTGAGCTGCTGGCTTTGTACACATTGCTCAGTGCCTTTTTTGAAAAAAAAAAAACAAACCCTTTATTCTTGGCTGCCTCAGGCGTAAAGCAAATTATTTAGAGGCGGGGCTTTGTGGGAGGAAACAAACCACCCAGCAACTAGAGAGAGGCAGAAGGCCTTGTAAGGTAGAGCCAAAAGGAGGAATGCAAAACTTTCACGCTGCTGCTTTCCTCAGTTTCCAGAATATATGGTGAAATACTTCAATCACAAGAGTACATTGGCCTTTCATTCACATCACCCAGAAGAAAAAATTGTCATGATTTTGCCACCCTTGTCATCCTTCCACCCTTACTCCAATTCTTTCCTTTGTGAAGCTTTGAACAGCAGATCCCAGACATCACCCCTCTCCTGTTTCCATACTTAAATGTGCATCTCTAAAAGCTATGGACATTTTCCTTACATAACTGCAATGTTGTTATCTCACATGGAAAAAGTGAAAAAAAAATTTTTTTTTTTTTTTGCATATCATGCAATATGTAACCCAGAGTCATGTTTCTCTGTCTCAGAAATGTTCACAGTTGGTTTAATTGAATCAGGATTCAGATAAGGTTCTGAGAATCTTTCACCAATTGTGCAAAAGGGTGAATAATTTGGGGGTAAACCATGATTAGAGCGAGTCCGTCCTGTGTGTCTAACCAAGCCAGGGAACCTAGCAATCATGACTCTGGGGGTCTCCAAGCTGAGATCCGCTCAGCGAGGCAACGTCTCTTCATACCCACCACCCACCTCCCAGGATGAGTAGTGTGCACTTCTAACTTCCTTTTGACCTCAGATTCTCAGATCTCAGCTTTTGTCACCGTGCAGTCTCCCAAAAAATGCTGGTTCAACACAACAGCCTGTAGGTGTGACTTCAGCTTCCCAGTTCTAGCTCCTTGGGTACCACTGGCTTAGGGTAGCTGATAAACACTCTGGAGTCTCAGATTGGTGGTTCTCAAACTTGGCGGTCCATTAGAATCATCTGGAGAACTTTAAAAACTACTGATGCCTGGGTCTGCCACCCTGAGATTCTGATATTTTCAGCCTAGATTGTGGCCTGGGCACGAGGAGTTTTAAGAGTTCCCCCAGTAAGCCCAATGCAGAGACAAGGATGAGCGCTGCAGGGCCGAGGATTCACCTTTCAGCTTCCCCCAACCGGAGCTCCAAGGGTTAAGCAGGACGTCCAAGGGGAGGTAGGGAGAAAGCTGTGGCGAGTGAGGGGCGTGGCTGTGGGCGGGCCCGGGGCCTGGACCACGGCCCGGGCTGCCGCTCGGGGTGGCGGGAGTGAGAGTGAAGCGCCAGAGAAAGAGGACCAGGGACTAGGCAGCCGGAAACGTCTTTTCAAAACAACTCGCAGAGGCGGCGGGGCCTCTGCAGCGCTAACGACGAGAGAGCCCGCAGGGCCTGGGCGCGCGGAGCTAGGCTTGCTTGGATTGGTCCAGGGGCTGAGGCTCGCCTGGATGGAAGGAAGCCTGGGGGGTGGCCGTTTCTCGCTGTCCGAAGCTCCCTGGGCACCTTCCGAGATCAAGCCCGCCATGGAGGAGCTGCAGAAGCGCGTGAAGGAGACCCTGGACGTGCTGAGCCCGCTGGAGCTGCGGAACTTCCGCGACCTCCTCAAAAAGGTGGACGAGGAGCCGCGCGTGACTCAGGTCCAACTGGAGCTGGAGGGCGGCAACACCTTGAAGCTGGCGCAGCTCCTCTCCAAGCACTACTACGCGTCGGTGCCGCGCGTCCTCACCAAGGTGCTGCAACAGCTGCCCCGCGCCGACCTGGTGCAGTGCTGGCAGGAAAATCCCACCGTCAACGGCCTGGGTGAGCGCCGCGATTCCGGGGCTGGGAACGGTGGTGGGGGCCAGTCCTCCTCGCGCGGGGATTTCCGGGCCGGTCCCCGCGGGCGGCTCGGTGTCCAGCTGAGCGGCAGGAAGGGGTCACCCGAGCAGGGAGGGCGCGAGCATCGAGGGACCCATTGAATCTGCGGCGGGAGGTGGGAGTCCCGGGGTACACGGACAGGATAGTCACCGTTTCAAGGCGAAGAATCCTAGCGGCCAGTTGAAGAGCCCCGGGGTCTGCTGTGTCGTTTAGGGTTGGGCTCAGAAGTCAGGTAGACCCGGCGGGCCTGAGATGCATTTTTCGCAAGTACTTCCAAGCGACTATGATGCGTGGCAGGTTTTTAGATGATACAGTGAGCAACCAAGGATTGGAATCCCCTCTGCCATATCTCCAGCGGGTGTTTGGGGCTAGGGATCCCCTCCTGCTTGAGCACCGTTAGCCCATTTGCCATAAATCTGGGAAGATGTGGCTTAGGATCAAGAAATGCAGTATGTAACAGGTTGAGGAAGGTAGCCCCCTCCCCGGCATTTAATAAATGTATGTGTGTATCATATATAAAATGTACTGTCAGTGGTCTGTGCGTTCCGCAAGCTTCTGGTCTGATTGAGTTTTAAGGTATGTATCCATTGCTGACCTTTGTAGATTGGTAACCGGTGAGGACTGTCACTGCTCACAGATACGGCCTGTAGGCCCCGTACTGCCCCTGGGAGCCTTGGATTCTCCCTTTCTTTACCCCACCTGGACATCACTTACGTTGTCCCTCCTGTTAAATTGTGTTGCATCACACTTTTATAATTCTGTAGGCTGTGAGTCACTTGTGATTAGCAGAGTGGTTTTTTTTTTCTTTCTTTCTCAGATTCATCCAAACTACACAATGTCATGACACTATAGGCCAAGACGTATTTGACTTGAATGCTAAACTATTCTGTTAAATAAAAAATAAAATAAAATAGGGTCTAGTTCTTTTGCTTCACCTATCTTCTCTTTATTCATTGATGTCTTGTCTCCTTCTCCGGAAGTGCATATGCATGATGTCATTTAGCTTTTGTTCTTTTACTCTCTGCCTGCGGTCTTTTTGTCCCAGAACCTGACTGGGGTCTAAGGGAGTTCTCTTTTAGGTTTCCAGCCTCAGGAGTTTGGGAAGGGGTGGACGTTCCTAATCCAAGGAAACTATTCTAAAATGAAATTGAAGGCTGCTGGACCCCCAAACAAGAGGCAATTGAAGTCCTTAGGGGAAGTGTGATTAAAAAGAAAAATAATAATGCTTGTTTTCTGTCCTCTTTCCATGAAAATCCGTTCAGTGAACCTAAGAAAACGAAGGAGAAGCAACCCTGACTGTGTGGATGGTGACTTGGTAAGTATCTTGACTGTTCTTTCAGCACTACACCCTGGTTAGTAAAATGGATATTTAGTGACCACTTGAACATTTTGGGTGTTGCTCCTGTTGGTTTAAAGATGACTTCCTGTGTGTTTGTCTCAAGTGGTGAGGTCTCACTGCTTTCTGTTGTAACAGTGAAAGCTAAACAGTAGCCAGTTAAAACCACTGTGTGTGCATTAACCCAAACTTCCTATCTCCACTGTATTACAAATCAAAAAAAGCAAAGCTCTGGAGATAGAACACTGTTTACATGGCTTTAGTGTTTGTTCCTGTTTTTTTTTTTTTTAAGTTTTATTATGGATATTTTAAACATATGCTAAGCAGAGGGACTGGAAAAATGAATCCTCCAAAACTTCAGTCCATACTGAAGTTCAGTTACATACTTAGCATCCAGCTTCAACAATTAGCAACATAGTGGCCAGTCTTGTTTCATCTGCTCCCCCTCCCAATTATTTTAAAGCAAATGCACACATGGTATCTCTTTCATCTGCATATGCTTTATCTTAGTATGTATCTCTGAGAAAGACTTCTTTCAAAACAGAACAATAATACCCTTATTTGTACCTAAAAACAAACTCCTTAAGCTCCTAGGTCTTTTACAGCTGATTTGTCAGAATCAGAACTCTGGTCGACACACATTGGACTGGCTTGTCTCTTAAGACTCTTAGTGTACCATACTTCTTTCACCTTTTTCTAGTTGTTTATTTGTTGAAGAAATCAGACTATTTGTCTGTCAAATGTCCCACGTTCTGGATTTGATGACTGTAACCCAGCGTAACCATTTCCCTCTTTCCTCTGTTTGCCCTATGTCTTTAAACTGGTAGTTGTGGCTGTGCATGGGAATTTTCTGAGATTGGCCTACGAGTCCAGGTCTGAGAAAGGCATTTGAAAGAATTACACATCAGGTCATGCCTCCCCTCCAGAACTGGTAACAGAGGCCATCAGTGTCGCGTTCCTGGTCTGAACCCGGAACCCTTGCCATTCATCCCAGGAGAAACTCACCGTTTGGTATACAGTTGACCCCCGCACAACATGGGGTTGAGCAGTGTGGGGCCACTTACAAGGGTGTTTTCAAGTGACCAGTGCTGTTCTAACCCACGACGTTCAAGGGTCCACGTGGCTGACTGTACTTACAGGCCGATTTTCCACTGCGCAGCGGGTGGTTGCCCCTATAAATAACTCCCTTGTTGTTCAAGGGTCAGCTGCATATGGTGTATTCGGCTTTCGGAGTGTGGTTTGGTCTAAGTATTGTTTCTTGGCTCCCCCGGAAAACAGGACCGTTACGACCTGAGCGGCAGTCGGAAGGCTTTCCTCATGTGTGTGAAGAAGGGCAGGCCAGGGGCTGACCAGGACATTAAACTGATGAAGCAGTGGCTTGTCCAGTGCCAGTTTGAATATACATTGTGCTTCGACCCTGGCAAAAAGGTAATGGACGAAAAATAAAAGTGAAAAATTGTGGGTTGGATTTTTATAACCTTCCTTCCTTTCTTTTTAGAAAAAAAATTGGGTTTTAGTACCTGGTGAAGAGTCAGGACCTACTGAGCAGTGATCTCTACTATCCTGATGAAATTCTTGACCCTGTACTTTCAGAATCTGAAGTGTGTGATACCCCAGCTCTGTGTCCAGTCAAGCAGGACCTCTTGGGTTTTAGTTTTAGCTAAGGCTGTGCAGCTGAAGAGGGAAAGAGATCTCAGGAAGGTGTCCTAGGGAACGTGGGCAAGGAGACCCAAGGATGACCAGTGTGGACCAGGGCCAGGGCATCTGGGAAAAGGGAAGACCAAGGAAACAGCGTGGAGAGGTCAGCAGGAGGTCCGGCCAGAAGGATTCCAGCAACATGGGAGCCCACGGGCCTTGAAAAGTCCTTGTGGGACTCCCTTGGAACCAGGTGATAGGTGGGGAGAGGGTCGCTGAGAGACCTGGGCAGAATTGTGTTGTGACTTAACCAGGTGACACAGAAAAAATAAGATTGATGAGTGGTGGGGGCAGGGTGGGAACGCCCTTTTAATCTCTCTGATCCTAGTTCAGTCACGGCCTTGACCTGCCATATTTTGGGACAGTGACACAGGAAAGCCCTTCAGGATCCCAGGAGTCCCTGCTCATGAACATGGAGGAATAGCGCAGTGAAGGCCTGTGAGTGCAGTGTGGGCTGCCAGAGTTGGAATCCTGTCTCTTACTAGTTGTGTTACCTTAAACCTGGTCCTCGACTGAAGGTACTTTTGTCCCCCAGAAGACATTTGGCAATATCTGGAGACGTTTTTGGTTGTCACAACTGGATATGTTAATGACATTGAATGTTTTGCTTCCTGGCACTCAACCCACTGAGCCTCACCAGCCAGGGCTTAAGTTCCACTTTGTAGGTCATTGGTTTGGTTGAACGTCTCTGTGTATTCTTTGGCTTTTTCCTACTAGATTTTCTTTTTCTTATACTATAGTTATTTTCGTGAACATTATTCATTTACAAAATATAGGGCAAATATTTTTCTCCTACTCTGTTACTTGCCTTGTGACTTTTCGTCGTTTTAAGTCATAGGGAAGTCTTTGAATTTTGTGAGTAAACTCATCGATCTTCCTGTTTGTTGGCTCTTGGTTTTTGTGTCTTGATTAAATGCCATGCCTTCCCAGTTGTAAAAAATGTAAATTATTTTTCTGTGATTTTTAAAAGTAGTTTAAAGTTTACCTCTTTTCTGTAGTTCCACTTTTTGTCATAGTGTGGGGTGGAAGCGCTAACTTGATTTCCAAATGAATAATCAGTCATCTCAATGTTTATTGAATGACACGTCCTTTCCCCACATATTGGAAATTCCACTTTTGTCATGAACTAAATTCTTGCATTATAGTACTCGAATTGATTTCTGGATTTTAAACTATTCCATTCATATATTTGTTTTTAGTTATGCCAGCATGTCACTGTTTTCACACGATTTTGTAGTACATTTGGATGTTTGATAGGACCTATCCCCCGCTTGTTTTTCTTTTTCCCTGAACGTTCTTGGGATTCTTGAGAATGATCTCTTCTCTATGGCCTTGAGAACCATCTGGTTACGTTTACAGGAGTCCTGTGGGATTTTCATTGGCATGACATTGAATTGAGATTCATTGGGAGTGAATTAGCAAATGAATAGTATTGAGTCAGCTCAGAAGCACTGGCCTGCCCTGGTTTGTTCATGCTGCGCCTTAGTCAGTTTTTTATGGTTTTTATCACTTAGGTAATGTGTATTCCTTGTTAGGATTTTTCCCTAGGCATTTCGGTTTTGTTGTGACCATGAGTGGGGCGCCCTTTTCCATTTTGTGGCTTAACGATTACTGCGGGGTGCCTGGAGAAATACAGATCTCTGTAAGTTTGTCTTACATCTGGTCCACCTGATGATCTCTAATTCTAATATTTTTTAGTTGACTCTTTTTGTATTTCTAGATAGTCACGATGTCTATCCATAATGTGTTTTGGCCCTTGTTTCCAATATTTAAACTTTATTTAATTTTTACTTGACTTCAAATGAGATGGGTAGGACCTTTGTTATAGCCCATATGGGAGTAATGACAGCAGCCACCTGTGCGAGGGACTTTGGTGGCATCTGCTCATAGACTCTGGCAGGTGTGTATCAGTGACTGGACTCCTCCCTTCCCTTCCCTTATTGAGACTGTTAGTTTTATAAAATAATTTTTATATATTAAAGCAAGTTCATGATAAGATTTAAATACATGAACCCTTTGGGGAGCCGTAGTTCTGTTATATTTTGTGGTAGACAATCAGAAATGCCCTTATTTGGTCAAGCAAGAACCAGTAGCACAGAAAGAAATCACACAAATTCTGGGGGCAGCCACAAGGGAGTGACAACTCAGGAAACGAATATTTACCTCATAATTGCTCTGCTAGAGATGGAAGTTTTCATTTATCCTCTCATTAGATCACCTCGTAGTAAAAGGGCCACTTCTAGCGTTTCTGACTTTTTTCTGTCAATTCTTTTTAATATGTTCTTCTATTTTACAGGAGTTAATTGACACACTAACATCATTTCGTGATGAATTAAATAAAATGAAAGATGAAATTAGCTGTTGCCTTGTCACTCTGATGTCCCACGGAGAAAAAGGCTTTATTAAAATAGAAAATGATGACAAAGTCAGCCTGGAGTTCATTTTTGACATGTTTAATAATAAAAATTGTCCAGCACTTCACGAGAAACCGAAGATCTTTATCATCCAGGCCTGCAGAGGAGGTAAGTGGAGACTTCCTTGTAATCGTCGTGTTTCTAGGGAATTCTCATACTGATGGTAGAGGAAAGAAAAGTAGGTTTAAAAACATATGTGTGTAAATAATATATATTAAATTAGAGGATGGTTAGCTGACATAACTTTAGTAGTATATGTAGTATACCAGGGACTTTGAGCTGGGAGGAAGAAATGGATGGAAAACTTACCTGGGATAGAATAGCTAACTTGGGCTGAGGAATGATCCAAGTCACTGACTTCATAAGGTAGGTCTGGGAGCCTTAAATTCTGAGAGAGGTCTGTGCCTTTGCCAAGGGATGTCCCACTGTCCCTGTGATTCCAGATGGCTTGTGGGACTAACATCTGACTTAGCTCTCTGTGGAGATTTCTCTATCTGGTGCACATACCAGCTTGTAATGACTTTTATTAAGGGTTGCTGGTGTCAGTGATGGATTATTGTAGTGTGTCTCATCATTCTTCAAAAAATAGAGAGAAGAGATAGTGGTGTTGAAACAGATGATGAACCCATGGACTTGGATGACATTTCAGAGAAGAGGAGGCTGCCCACATTCAGTGATTATTTCATCATCTATCCTACCCAGCCAGGTGAGACAGTGAAGATAGATGACTGTGAAGATGTGCATCTGCCAGAGAGTTCCGGTTATTCCTAATGATTTTTAAAATCTTTTTTTAAAAAAAATGAACCATGCTTTTCCAATTGATGTTTATAAGGAGAAATCTTTTTTAATTAAAAAAAATGTTTTATTGATTTTAGAGAGAGAGAAAGGGAGGAGGAGAGAGAGAAACATTGATTGGTTGTCTCCCATACATGTTCTGACCAGGGATTGAACCTGCAAACTAGGCATGTGCCCTGACTGGGAATTGAACCCCTAGCTGTTTAGTGTATGGGACCATGTTCCAACCAACTGAGCCACACTGGCAAGGGCTATAAGGAGAAATTTTTATTAACTCCTTCATCTCCCTTGGTTCCTGCCCTGGCCGGGTAGCTCAGTTGGAGCATTGTCCTGATACCCTAGGGCTGTGTGTTTGAACCCCAGTCAGGACACGTAGAAGAATCAACCAACAAGTCAATGTTTCTCTCTCTCTCTCTCTCTCTCTCTCTCTCTCTCTCTCTCTCTGTCTCTCCCTCTCCCTCCCCCCACCTTCCCTTCCCTACCACCTTTTCTCTCTCCCTAAAATCAATTTAAAAAATGGTTCCTACTTTCAGAAATGGCAGGTTGGCATCTTGCTGTTTATTTCTTTCAGGAAGACACCAACCTCTTAGCAAAGTACCACAAAGTAAATAAAGTCATTGGTTCTCAGGTGAAAATGATGTTGGCTCAAAACCTAGCTCTGCCACTTGATATCTTTGAGACCTTCAATATTTTTTAGCCTCTAGATATTTAAGTTTTTTCATGAAAAATGAGAATGATAAAATTGATTCATGTCATTAGGCTATCATGTCAATTAAAGTAAATAATGCAGGTATTGTGCTTATAACAATTGGCTTAATAAATACCAAAAATTAGCTACTATTATTACTAGTATGCTAATAACATCATTATTATTAGTAATACTATTACTAATAAGTTAAAGTCCAAAAGAATCTTATGTGCTGAACAGGTGGACTTGCCAGGAAAATGTAGAGAAGATATAAGTAAGTGGTCAAGGACATTATTTAGCTGTTTATATCTTGACTTTCTTCAAAAAAGATTAAGGTAGTTTACAAATAAGTAAATAAATACATATATGTATATGTGCACATGCACGGTTTGTCCAGAAAGTATTCAGTCCTGTACTATGCAAAATAGAGACTTTTATTGAAGAAGATACAAGAAATATTGTACACAAGACAATGATACCTCAGTCCCCTTCAAAACAAGTGCCTTGGGACCTCACAAAGTGTCCCATTTGTCATTCGCTGCCCCCTCATATTTTCCTGAATCTCATCGACGGTCTGAAATCGCTTCCCTTTCAAAGGTGATTTTAGTTTTGGGAAAAGCCAGAAGTTGCAGGGTGTCAAATCTGGGCTATGTGGGAGTGAGTCACTTGGGTAATTTGATGTTTCACAAAAAAAAATCTGCATGAGACATGTTGCATGAGCAGGCAATCACCAGTTGCCCACAGCTGGGGCATTCTGCATCATCCAGATAGTTCCCGTGGAGGAATGTTCAAGCTTAATGCAAAATTTGATACAGATTCTTGGTTTTACTTGCTTAGTCCTTTTGAATGTGATGGCTACACAGTACACACTTGCTCACTCAATGGGTGTCTACCGCCCCTATTGCCTAGTACAGTGAAGTTGTCATTATTCATGCATGCGCATTCCAGTCTACTCTCCTTGGGTGCCCAGGCTACATTGATGCCACGCAAACTGTTCTCATTATATTAACAATGGCTGGACCTTTTCCAGATGGACCTTGTGTATATGTGCAATTCAAGATAAAATGTTAGTGGAAAAATGGAAGCAAGGAAGTAAGGGCAGTAATGTAAAATGAAACAGTGAATGATGAGACATTAAAAATATCCTTGGTTATTTACCCAAGAGAGATGAAAGTGTATGTCCTCATAGTCATTGGCACACGAATGTTCATAGCAGCTTTCTTTGAAATAGTCAAAAGCTCTAAATAACCCAGATGGCCAGCAACTCATGGTATATCATACTTTAAATACTACTTGGCATTAAAAAGAAATGAGCTCCTGATACATGCTGTAACATAGATGACACTCAAAATAGTTACGCTAACTGAAAGAAACCAGATAAAGTACATACTGTAGGATTCCTTGTTTATAAAATTGTAGAAAATGCAAACCAATCTGTACATAGTGACAGAAGGCAAATAAGTGGTGTAGGGTGGAGGATGAAGTGGAGAGAAGAATTGCCAAGGAACACGAGGGCCCTGTGGGGGAGATTGGTATATTCATTATCATTATTGTGGTGACGGTTTCACAGAAGTTTTACATTTGTTAAAACTTATTAAATTGCATGCTTGCTTAAAATACATATGCATGATTGTCAGTTATCAATTATAGTTTAGTAAAGCTGTAAGATTTTTTTTTTAATTTATTCATTTTAGAGAGAGAGAGGAGAGAGGGACAGAGAAACAATGATTTGTTGTTCCACTTATGGATGCACTCACTGGTTGAGTCTTCTATGTGCCCTGACCAGGGATTGAACCCATAATTCCACAGTTGTAGAGTATTGGGACAATGCTCTAATCGACTGAGCTACCCAACCAGGGCCTAAAGCTGTAAGATTTCTTTTTTTTTTTTTAAGATTTTATTTATTTACTTTTAGAGAGGGGAAAGGAGAGAGAAAGAGATGGAGAGAAACATCAAAGTGTGGTTGCCTCTCGCTCACCCCCTACTGAGGACCTGGCCTGCAACCCAAGCATGTGCCCTGACTGGGAATTGAACCGGTGACCCTTTGGTTCATAGGCTAGCATTCAATCCACTGAGCCACACCAGCCACAGCCAAAGCTGTAAGATTTTTAAAAAGTTAGGTGTAATGCCCTGGCCAGCCTGGCTCAGTTGGTTGGAGAATCATCTGATACTGAAAGGTGGCTAGTTCTGTTCCTGGTCAAGGCACATGCCCAGGTTACAGGCTTGATTCCCTGTCGGGGCACATGCAGGAGGCAGCTGATCAGTGTTTCTCTCTCACATCGATGTTTCTCTCTCTCTCCCTCCCACTCTCTCTAGAATGAGAATAAAACTTAACAAAAAAAGTTAGGTGTAAGACAGGCATGCACACTATTACCACTACTATCTAACATGGCATGGCTGATCCTGGCTAATGTATTAAGATAATAAATAAAGGTATAGGATCAGTAATCTAGAAATCAATAGCTCTGAATATAGTAACAATATACTAGCAATAATAAGTTATATAAAGAAAAGAAAAAGATACCATTTTTTTCTTGTTTTAGTGAATGATGTCTAGGAATGACTAACAAAAGATAAGTAAGAACTTTATTAGAAAATAATAAAACATTCCTGAAAGGCATAAAGGAAGACCTAATAAATGATGGGAAATACTGTGGTCATGGATGGGAAATTTCAATACCATGGAGAGGACGGTATTGAAATACTGTAGAGAGTTTTTCCCAAATCAATCTGTAAGTTGAATTTCCAAAGTGGGTGTTTTTTTCATGGAACTGACAAACTCATCAGAATTATTATCAAACAATTAAGGGTCAAGACAAGAAATCTCAAACCAATTCTGTTGAATGAATGAATTTTACAGCTCTGTGCTGGCTCACATATGTTTGAAGGCTAGAGCTTCAGGAATGAACAAAGGAGCTAGAAACCTCTGCCTCCATTGAGTATATGTTCTAGTGGGGGAGACAGAAAATAAACACATAGCAAAAATAGGTATTTGTGTACCTTTATGATTCTATTTGCATAAAGTTCAAAAACAGGCAACACGAATCTGTGGTGTGGGAAGTCAGGATACGGCTTGCCCTGGGAGTGCCAAGTGTTTGGAGTGGTGATGACCAGACCGGGCCAGAAGGGGACTTCAGGAGCGGTGGTACCATCTTGTTTCCTGATGAGGGTGCCAATTACGCGGGTGTGTTCATTTCATGAATACTGAGCTCTTGCATACTCTTAACACTTTGTGCACGTTTCCATGTGATGGATACCCTTCAATGAAAAGTTTACCAAAAATAAAATTATGTTAGGTGGTAGTAAGGGCTATGGAGAAAAATAATGCAGGAACTGGAGAGAGGGAGTGTTGAGGAGTAGGAGCAGAGATTGCAGTTTTTAAAAAAAAGATGCATAGAGATGTCCCTACTGAGAAGCTGATTATGTTGTAGAGAATTGAAGGACATGAGAGAGTGAGGTATCCAGACATTTGAGAGAATTCATTGTGTAGAATAGGAACCCTTACTATAAAGGAGTAACAGAACTCTATGTATCAACCTATATACAGACAAATAGACTACCGGGATGAAATAAAGCTATAATTCCCCTTTAAGTACTGCTTTTACTCTATTCCTTAGGAATAACCTATCCATAGGGACTAATTAAATGAATTATAGGGAAACTAGAGAATATTACAAGCTATTACTAATTAATGGTGAAAGAATGGACCATTCAGTAAACAGTGCTGGGAAAATTAGTTTCTCAATGGGAAAAAAAATAATTTATTTTCAGATTTTTTGGCATGCATTTTGTTGTATCTTTAATCATGTGCAGTCTCTTTCTATAGTTATATTTCCATCTTTATCTTTAATATTTGTATCATCCTTTTTATTCTTGATCAGTTTTTCCAGTGGTATGTTTATTTAATTAAGAACCCATTTTTAGTTTTTGTTAATCTTCTCTGGTATTATGTTTGGTTTTGATTTTATTAATCAAATCAAAATTTGGTTTTGGCTAATATTTACATTTTTCTCCATTTTGGGGAGGCTTATCCTATCCTTCCCAACTATTTTAGTTAGGTACTTGACTCATTATTTTATACCTTTTTAAAAAAACATAAACATTTGCCCTGACCAGCATGGCTCAGTTGGTTGGGTGTCATCCTGAAAAGGAAAAGGCCACCGGTTCGATTCCCGCTCCAGGCACATGCCTGGGTTATGGGTTCAGTCCGTGTTTGCACCGTGTAGGAGAGGCAACCAATCAGTGTTTCTCTCTCACATCAGTATTTCCCTCTCTTTTCCCCTCCCTTCCCATAAATTCTATATGGATGTATTTAGGAGTATTTAGCTTAAAATGTTGTAACAAAAGTCAACCATAAAAAAATAGAAACAGGATAAAATCAAGCAAGTAGCACAATGATAACTGTTGAATCTGAGGGATGATTATATGGAGGTTTGTTAAATTTTGCTTTCTACTTTTGTGTATATCTGAAAACTTTTATTTAAAAAATGCATACTGAAAGAATGCCCTATTGAGAGGTTTTGTGCTGTTGGTCACATGGTCCCCTCTGAGGCGCAGGTGTGTGCCGTGTCTGTCATGGCTCCAGACCCACTCCTGCTAATCCAAGAGTGTTTCTGTAGTCTCAGTTTCAAACCATTTTCTTTTCTTTTCTTTTTTTTTTTTAACATGTGCGAAAGCTCCAGGGTTTAGAAGGGACAGGGGGGACCCTCCAAACATGGGGAAATGCTTTCAGCACTTCCTCTCCCTGCACATCAATGACCTGGGCACGGGCAGCCCATGATCAAACCATTTTCTAGGCCCTAACTGTGGGCACAAGAACAGTTAACACAAGTAGCGGAGAAAAATGGACAAAATGTTTCTGTTTTAATTTATAGATTATGTTGCTTTACGGCACTGCCGCACTGGCTCTGTGATGATCCAGGCAATGGCTGAAGTCTTCCAAGAACATGGAAATAGGTGGCACATCGCTGACTTTTTCACCAAAGTAAGTAAATTCCAAGGGACCATGTATGTAGTCCATTCACTCTGAAGCTAATGCACTTGATGAGAAGGTTTTCATAACAAGGTTGACCTTAGCCATGCAAGTTTTGCTTGAAAACACCAGCAACACTAGCTGCTTGTGAGTGTAGAACAGTGGTCCCCAACCTTTTTGGCAGCAGGGACCAGTTTCGTGGATATTTTTCCATGGAGGTGGGTGGAGGGAGACAGGAGGCGGAGCTCAGGCCACACACCTCCTGCTGTGCGCCCTGCTCCTAGCAAGCCACAGACCAGTATCAGTCTGCAGCCTGGGGTTTGGGGACTCCTGGAGTAGAGGACTGTAGCAGCATTGTTCAGAAGACACCGCTGAGCCATATGCCAAGGAGACCTGATAGTGACACTTTCTATTCATTGGTAACATGAGTGAGTGAGCTCTTAGGTGAGCTTTGAAGTTCTTGCTATTGCGGTTGGCTTTGGCCTGACGGCTCCCCTAGGGGAGGGGAGGACCTGAAGGCTTCTTTGAAGACTAACACTGGCCCTGGTCTGCGTGGCTCAGTTGGTTGGAGTGGTCATCCCGTAAACCAAAAGGTCACGGGTTTGATTCCCAGTTAGGGCACCCGCCTACATTGCAAGTTCAGTCCTCAGTCAGGGCATGTAGGAGAAAGCAACTGATTGATATTTCTCTCCCTCTCTTCCCCTCTATCTAAAATCAATAAGCATGTCCTCCGGTGAGGATAAAAAAACAATAAAAAAAAAAAAAAAAGACTGACCCCGGCTGGCATATGTCCCACCAGCTTGTAGCCCGTGGTCAGTGTTCACTGAATGAATGAGTGGCCGAGAATTGTAGCACATTTACACAAGGACCATAGTTTCGAGAATGGCCTGATTATACTGGCTTATCATCAGGCTTGGGGAGTAATTTTCTTCTTAACCTGGGATTTTTATACTCAAAGAGAGTTAATTAGAAAAGGTTGTGAATGAGCTGAGTAACAGCAATACTAACAAGGACGGCAAGGCTCGCTCTGTGCTTTGCAGATATTAACCCAACTGAGTCTCCAGCCACCCTCAGGCAGCTACCAGGGCCGGCTTCTGCTCCCGCAGATGGAGAGCCAGGAAGTGGCCGAGTTCCAGCCCGGGCCACGTGATTCCGGGGTTCATGCCCTAATCAGTGATGTAATAACCAATCCTCACCTCTGCGAGAGGTGGTAACTATTTTTATTTCTTGAAAAGAAACTATTATTAATACTTTACATACAATGCTTAACTTTTTTTCTTTTTAACATCTTATTTAGGTAAGCTCTTGGGAAATAAATGTTAAAGGGAGAGACTACAGACAATTTGGATGGTGATTCCAACCATATCACCAAATATCTCCTGTTGTTTGATTTTTCTCTGTAAAAAATAGTACCTTGTCAGTTTCTCAGGAATGTGTAATGATAAAGACAGATTTAACCTACTGCATATAGAAATCCATTTTAGCTTAATGCTAACTGAAAACATTTTGTGGACTAATGTTTATTAAGTCTTTATTGAACACCCTTATTTTTTTTATGTACACTGTAAGATTTTATTTATTTGTGTTTAGAGAGGGGAAGGGAGGGAAACAGAGAGGGAGAGAAACAGCACTGTATGGTTGCCTCTCGAGTGCCCCCTACTGGGACGTGGCCAATAACCCAGGCACATGCCCAGACTGGGAATTGAACCAGCGACCCTTTAGTTTGCAGGCCAGTACTCAATCCACTGAGCCACACCAGCCAGCGCTCTTCCCCCCCCCCCCAAATCACCATGTTAACCATTTTAGGGATGTAGTTCAGTGGCATTAAGCACATTCACATAGTTGTGCAATCATCACCCCCATCCCTCTCCAGACCTTTCTCATCTTCCCAAACTGAAACGCTGTGCCCATTAAACATTAACTCCTCATTTCTCCTCCCCTCAGCCCCTGGCACCCACCATGCTTCTTTCTGTCTCTATGAATTTGACTACTCTAGGTTTCTCCTGCAAGTGGAATATTACAGTATTTGTCCTTTGTGTCTGGCTTATTTCACTCAGCATAACATCCTCAAGGTCCAATCATGTTGTAGTATGTGCCAGAATTTCCTTCCTTTTTAAACACCCTTCATTCTTAAAGCTCTTGCTATGTAAACACTGGTGAGAAAATGTCTAGAAATGAGCATAACGTAGCCTTTGCATTGAAGGCGCTTAGGGCTTAAGTAGGTGGTGACAGATATGCTTACAGCCAACCCTGGAAGTGTACAGCTGTTGGATACTTTAGACATAACGTAATCCCACGCTTTCATTGTACCATGCGTACCAAGGCTGGGAAAGGGGTACTCCCTGGCCTGATATTACCCAGGGGCAAGCTCGAGACTGAGCCCAGGTCTGTGGACTCTTCAGTCCAGCGCTCTTTCCGTCTCACAGTGCTGTATTCCAAGCACTTGTTGGAACATCTTTGTAACGCTATTTGCATTGTTTTCCTGATGGAGTCAGAATTCTGCCATCTCATCCTGTGGGGCTTCCTAAAAGGCTTTTTGCTCAGGGCTTTACGTGCATTTGGACAGTTTATGCTTTTCTCTTACAGGTGAATAACAAAGTGGTGCACACTGATTTTCATCTACAGGAGGGACCAGTCAAAGTATCACTTGTAATGGAATCGACTCTAACTCGATCCGTGTACTTTTGACATCGGGAAGATTTTAAAAATAAGGACTGCTTTATGGTAGAGTTTCTAAGGAACTGTGAGGTTTTGTAGCATAGTACAAATGGTTATCATTTTGCATTATTCCTGTCGTTAGTTCTTTTTCTACAGTTTGTTTTGTATATGTACATACTCGAAGATTTAATTCCACTTATTTGGAACTTGTAAATACTTTTGACTTTTTTTACTGATTTTTTTTTACCTGAGCTCTTATTAAAACACAGAAGTCCAGCCGGGTGTGTACACTGTTTCTATCATGCGCTCCCTGTTGCTGATTACCCCCATCCTCTCCACTCTCCATGGGGTGCTGATGTTAGGCCTCATCTTCTTGGCCTAGTATTCAGAACTGCCTTTAAGAGGTCTTCCCCTGGTTCACCTTATTCCCACCCCCAACCCCATATTGTTGTCTGCAGCCAGACTGATCTCCTTTTTGACCTCATAAGCCATCCTCAAGCCTTACCTGCGTATCTCTGCTTGAACTTTGTGCCCTTGATGCGTTCATGTTTTCACCGCACCCGTTCTCCAGCTTTCTACCTGCTGCCTCAGTACCTCTGACCGGCTGGTTTCTGCCCGGAACACTCTGTTCCACCCCAGGTAGGTAAATCCTCTCTGTACCATGTGCTTCCTCTGTACCATGCATTCTTCAGGGTGCAACTTGGTTCCCAACCCACTGTAAAGAAAACCTGTATGTAGACTGGTATTTTTAGAGTAACAGATTCTGGACTGAGCATGAGTTTTAACTGTAATTATGTTCTTTTGTAACGTGGCCTGTGTTTGGACCTCGGTTTCTGCATCTGTATAAAAGGAGACTTGGCTCAGCTGGCTGAGAACTCGTCTCACTGGACCTCGGTGAACTCTGATGTCTTAAAGAACTTGGTCATGAACCCTGCGGATGTGACTTCTTAAACCTAGAGGTCCAAGGTGGCAGTTGCATGAGACTGTTGAGCCTGCGTGAGAACGCAGGTGTTTCGTTCTGTGAAGGCTGCTGAGAATGCTGTGAAGGCTGCTGAGAATGCTGTGAAGACTGAAGCAACCCAGAATTTCCAGGCCTATCTCTATTTCAGGGATAGCCATGTCCTTTTTGGTTAATGTGATCTCTTAAGCATACATATCTGTGATTTAATTTTTAACTATTTGAGTTCTGATGTTTGGTGTGTAACTTTAGTTTTTGTATACAGCATTAAAATGTTTCCTTGGTTCATAAAATACAAATATCAGGTGAGCCTTTCCACTCACTTGTGTTGATAGGATTTCCAGGCACAGGGGCTCCTTCCAGGTGTTGGCAGCAGCTGAATCATCAACAGCTATTGCCTGGGAACAGTTAGGTGACTTGTTCATAGTCACCATTAGCATGTAGTGCAGCTGGGATTCCAAAGCAGGAGGTAACACAAGACACAAAGTGTAAAGTGACCGAGGAGAGTTATATAGATAGGATGCTTTCAGTGGACAGAAGGGGCATCCCGTTTAACTGAGGGAATGAGAACTTCAGAACAAAGGAGGGCAAAGTGATTTTGGAACATTGCTCAGGCCACTACAGTTCAGGTTCATGGAGAGGACTGTTGGACAATTAGGTATCAGACAAACAGGTGAGGAGGAGCAAAAAGGAAGTCGGGTTAGAAAGGGAGGTGGGAACGTGGACAAGATGAACGGGATGCCTGGGCCAGGTGGGTGCCCCACAGTCTCTCAGCTTCCGGTCAGAACGGGACTCTCTTAGCCACCCAATGCCATGTGCTGTGTACTCCAAAAAAACACTACAGTTCCCAGTACAATTTTACATTTGAAAAAATTTTAAGCCTGGTTTTTAGTTAGTTTTTAAATACAAATCTTAGAAACCAAAGTTTGCAAAAGGAAGGCTCTGAGATTTTTGTTCATCAGCAGTGGGCATGAGTGAAAAATGATGGAGAAACTTGTGCAGAGGCCCCGGAGGCTGCAGATGGGGAGGAGGACACGGGGCGGGAGCTGCAGCCATTCTTTGACACATGCCCCTTGGGCAAGGGGTCGTCATCTGGACTGAACTCTCACTACAGCACACGTTTCATCTTCAGACTTTTCTCGTTTCCTTGCCAAGAATTTTCACCAAGCAGATCGGTTGTCAAGGACAAAGTTACTTTGTGGGGGAAAAATCTTAGTATCTTGTGGAGAAACAAACACTTAAGCATGATTACAGTGCCATGTCCTGGTTGTTACAATGGTGGAAGCTCTTCTTCAGACCACTGTGCACAGAGGATGGCTTCTGAGTGTCCTAGAAGGCCCTCCAGAGCAGTCCTGCAGTGACAGAAAACTGCCCTTGAAAACCAGCCGTTCCGTCCTCATCCAGCTATTTCTAGGCCTTGTGCCTTTTTTGAGAGCCAAAATGTCTCCATACTTTCAGCAGTTTCTCAGGAGGCTGAAACCCATGCCCACAAGTTTACTCTTTTTCTTCTATGTCAGTTTTGTTTAAAAGCAGTGGGGTTTTGTCTCAGCTGAAGCCCAACCTGGGTTCCTCACAGGAAATTTGAAACATAAAGAACAAATGAGGAAGTAACTCACCCAGTTTCTTCTGTATTGGTATATCAGTAGTTTTCACCCTGGCTGCACATTAAAATATTGGGAGCTATTTTTTCTAAACTTACTGATTTTAGAGAGAAAAACATTGGTATATGTTCCAGCCATTCAGGCATTCCCTAATTGCATCTTGTATGTGCCCTGGCCAGGATGAAGCCAGAAACCTTAGCTATAGGGCTGATACTAGTTTTTAAAAAACAGATTTTCTTGGTTTGGAGTTGGGCATGTTTAAAATCTCTGCAAATGATTCTAAGTGCAGCCGGATTTAAAACCTCCTGTATAAGTATTAATAATTTGGCTATTTGAAAATTTTTTTTAACGCATAGGGTTTCAATTTTTAAAAGTTGCCCTCATCCTCTGATTATCTTTTGTACCATAAAATTTTAACTATTTTTTAATGGTTGTATAGTATCGTATCGACGGGATAAATTTTTATATCTATCGACGGATGATACTGCAATTAAAAAATAGATTGTATTTGTTTTTAGAGAGGGGGGCGGGGAGGGAGAAAGAGAGGGAAACCTGATTGGTTGCAACGCCGGCCTACAAATCAAGTCTGTGACCGGCGACCAACCGCCTGAGCCACACCAGTCAGGGCGGATGTGGAAACTGTTTAAGCGCGCGCGCAGACACCCCCCAACCCGTCCCCCCAGCTTTTGCATCTGTGCAGTCTTGTCTTTTTTATTTCTCAGGAGAATTTCCCATCAGTGAACTTTTAGAATCTGAATTACGTACTGCTAAATTGTCTTCCACAATATGAAAATAATTTCTGCAGCTTTCGTACATCAAACACTTAGACTTGTGAGGTTCAACATTGTTTCCCAGCAGCTTAGCGAGGGACCCGTTCAAGTTCACAGGTCAGTACACGAAACTGGGAAAGAGCTCGAACCTGACTGGCTGGCTGGCTTCAGGCTCGCGTGCAGCACCCGATTACGGTAGGAGGTCCGACACCCTCGGAACACCGCCGCGTCGGGCCGCCGACCAGCGCCAGAGTCGCACACCGCCCGGCGGGAACCTGGGCACCCCCGCACGCCCTGCTCCTAGACCCGGCGCCAGCGACGTCAGCCCCCCTCCACGACGGGGAAGACCCGCCCCTGAACGTTCTCTCGGGCTCCGCCCTTTTTCCGCGAAGCTTTTGTTGTCATTGGCCGGCGGTGGGGTATATAACTACGTCATTTCCGCCCGGTCGTTCTTTCCGCGCTACCAAGAGAGGGGCCCGTACGGCGTTGTTCTCGGTGAGTGTTTTGTGAGGTTCTCGAGTTCCCCAGAGCCGCGGGAACCAGCTTCCTGCTGAAACTACGGGTGCGAGAACTGCGGGCGAGGGCGTGCAGACAGGGAGGGTCAGGCAGGGATCGACATGGCCCGCCGCGGCCCTGCGGACAGCACGTGGCCGAGCTGGGCCCGCGGGTTCCCATAATGCCCCGGGAGCGGTGAGAGGCCACGCTGGAGCCCAGGCGCGGGGCTGCGGGGCGGTCCGAACTGATGGTGAGCGCGGGTTCAGGGAGGAGGGGAATGGACCACCGTGAGGTCGCTTGGTACCCCGACACTTTCACAGTGAATCCGGAGGCCCAGGCGCCCCTTTACACCAGGGACCAGGGCTCGGGGGCTTTTCCCGTTGGTGTTAAGGTTCTTGGCAGGGTTTTGAGGAAAACCATTTGGGAATCCACGGAGACTTAAATCCAACGTGCTTGCCTAAATCTATTTGAATATAAACTTGCTTCCATCTCCCCTGCCTTTGCTCAACTTAAGTGCTCCAACATGGCTGCTGGCCTTACAGCTGCTGGTTATTTTTGCTCATCGATAGCTTCAACATAACTCCTGGGTACCTTGAAAAGTGTTACGTCTTAATTCACTTTTTTCATGTAGTGGAATTCCTGGTTTGATCATCCCCACACTTTTCTCCTCAGCAAGGTTTGCTGCGGTTACGTGTTTAGCACAGTCTGTTCAGTTATGTCTCATCCCATTGAACTGTAAGTGCCACCCAGCAGGGAATGCACCCATTCCCCTGCCCCACTGGCACGGAAAGGATTAGATTGTTAACTGTTGTTTTTCAGGTTCCCACGTAACTTAAAGGGAAACTTTCACAATGTCCGGAGGCCTCGATGTCCTGCAAATGAAGGAGGAGGATGTCCTCAAATTCCTTGCCGCAGGGACCCACTTAGGTGGCACCAACCTTGACTTCCAAATGGAACAGTACATCTACAAAAGGAAAAGTGATGGTCAGTCACCGCTGTAGCGCCCCTTCTCCACCCTTCCAGCTTTAAGGATAAATTGTGACCCTCCTGTTCTGCGGGTAGTGCTGGGTGAAGTAGTATCTGAGTTTACCTTGGAGGGCTCTCTACTAAGTAATAAGTGAAGCTAGATCCCTAGATTGGAAACAGGCTTTAAAACTAAAAGCGTTGGGTTGTGTCCATGGGAGGAGGGTGGCATTTGTGAGGTTATGAGTGGGACTCGAGTGGGTTGCTAAGGGCATGTGAGATAGGAAGATGAGCAGGAAGCTTGGGAGTTGATGACTCCCTCCCATAGTGCCTTATGTTCCCAGGTACTGGCACGGGTTTGTTCAGCTGCATTCCGAGGAAAGCAGAACAAGAGACGGGGATGAATGAGGGTTGCCACAGGAGTATGGAAGGCGTTCTGGTGGGTAGAGATGGAGCCACTGAAGGACAAGGCCTGGGAGTAGGGCTGTAAAGGAATGTGGGATTGAATTTGGTATCAAAGCAGAGAAAGTGGTGAGAGGCCAACAGGTGGGCAGCCTCTTGTAGGAATCCTGATGGGGGGTTGCTGCAGAGAAAGGGGAGCTGAGGCACTTGACCTGCTGCGTGGAGGCTGCACACTGTTAAAGCTCGGGGCGGAGGCCCGTCTTGGCCAATGAACTTCGGGTGTCGGAAGTGTGCTACATTGACGGCAGGGTGCTCGCCAGCTCCAGGAGAGCCTGCCTCTATGACTGGAGGTGGATAGTGCTCTCTGCCACATGCCGCTGGCGGGAGAATGTCCGCTGGAAAGCTAGGTCACGTGCTTAAAGCCTTTTCTGTCACTAGGCATTTACATCATAAACCTGAAGAGAACCTGGGAGAAGCTCCTGCTGGCTGCTCGCGCCATTGTTGCCATTGAAAACCCTGCTGATGTCAGTGTCATATCGTCCAGGAACACGGGCCAGGTTTGTGGAGCAAGAGGCTTGCTTTTTATTATAAAAATTAAGCTCACTCTCCCAAACATCATCATTTTGGGATGTTTGGAAGAGTATAAAAATAAAAATTCCACTGTAGAAATGTTGAATTGTCAATACTTGACATTTTCAACATATACACCACTTGACGCCTGACAGTATGTTGAGCGTCATTTTTCATGTTATGTATTTGCTTGTGCCACTAAGTATCGAGAAATAACCCTATTAAAATGGCTCATCAGCATTGTACTGTTGTCACATCTTTAAATATTTACATGAAGTACTGAGTCAAAAATGTTTTCATGTCAGTTGTGAAGGTTTTCTGAGTATGGTACTAGTCCTCGTCCAAGTCCTATGAGCAAGAGTAGGAATCTTTACCAACTTAAATGAAAAGTAGCTTTTTAAAAATGTCCAGTGAGATTAAAAAACGTTGTCTCTTTTGCCCTGTTCTATTTTTATAATTCTTTGTTCTCTTTCTGTGAGAAGACTCACAGATACCGAAATTGATTTATAAGAGCTCCAGTGAGAATTTCATTCACCCCATTTCTAATTTTTAAAAAGGCTTGACTTAGATTTGAACAGAGCTTTCAAATTCATGCGGGAGACTCCTTCTATATTTCATTGTTCAGATTGACAGTAAAACGAGGTCCTGTTAACTTTCAGCGTGTTTGGGGGGTGGGGCAGGGTGTCGGGTATTCTCTAGAGGCTGGATTTTACTGAGCCCCTCAGCTGGGTGCATGATAGAGGGAAGATGCTGCTCTGGAACAAACAGTGACCATTCTCATGCTTTCCTCAGCAAAACTTTATGAAGCTTCTAGATTGATCTAGGCAGTGTTGCTAGATGCTTGGATGTAGCAGGGAAAGAGCCAGCATGCCTTTCTGGAAGAAAAAGGTGAGGGAGGGTGAAGAAAGCTGGGTGTAGTTCTGCTTCATGTAGATTAGCTGGGAGGGCATTTGATCAAGAAGTGCTTACAGTTACCACGCACTGTTGTATTGATTCATTTCATGTTATAACCCTATGAGGAACTTGGAGGCTCATGAACAACTTACCAGGTCACTCACCAAGTGCCCTACATGGTACTAGAAGTCTGACAGTGTGGCTCTGTCCTCTAGGAGCAAGGAGGCCTGTGAGCCACGGCACCTGAGGGAGGTCGGAGTGGGGACATGATTAGCATGTTTTTTTGGCTCTAGTTTTGTAAGCCCTTTCCAGGTGACGCGGAGCGCAGAATTACTGTAATTTGATGCTTTCATTTGTGAGGAGGGATACTTGGGGGTTCTGACTAGATGGGCTGCTTCATGTGGTTGTGGAACTGTCAGCCCCTTTGTCCTACGGCTCTGCCTCTGAGGCACGGCTAACTCTTGATGTTGGTTCCTCAAGCGAGCTGTGCTGAAGTTTGCTGCTGCCACCGGAGCCACTCCCATTGCCGGCCGCTTCACTCCTGGCACCTTCACTAACCAGATCCAGGCGGCCTTCCGGGAGCCGAGACTTCTGGTGGTTACTGACCCCAGGGCTGACCACCAGCCTCTCACCGAAGCGTCCTATGTTAACCTGCCTACCATTGCTCTGTGTAACACAGACTCTCCTCTGCGCTATGTGGACATTGCCATCCCTTGCAACAACAAGGTAACTACCTTTTGGTCGAAATTTGACCTTGAGAACAAGAGCCCCGGAAGCAGTTGGGCATTCCTCTGCACATTGTTAGAGCTTGGAGTCGAGGCTGCTCGTGGCCGATGAACTCACAAGTGTAGGTAGTGTGCTACACGAGGGGCAAGTTTTCGCAAACACCACGAGGGTCTCTGGCCCCATGAGTGGAGTTTGATAGTAATCCTTGCAACAAGTGATTTGAATGTGTGAGAGCTTCAAGGAGAGATGAAAACATTTGAAAAATGGTGTTTTTTGCTGCTTTTCTCCATATTTCTTGCTCTGCTTGAGCCTCTCAGGCATTCCTTGGCCTTTTTGTTTTCAGACCAGCTTGATGAAGCCTGCTATAAGATCCTAAAAAGGTGGGTTACGTATGGTTCGAGTTGGTCCAGTTTGTCACTGGTCTTAAAACCTTGGTTGCATATAAGAATCACCCAGTGATTAAAAAATTATAACAATGTCCAGGCATGATCCTAGGGGGCATTTCATTTTATTGCTTAGAGTGGAGGCTTGACAGTAGTGTTTTATAAACTCAGCCAATCAAGGTTGAGAGTTGCTGATGTATTGAACAATCTTCCTTGTTACAAATACTTTTATACTAAGACATGTCTGTTCTCTTGGTGCCAAGGACCTAAATGATAGGGCAGATTAGGTGGAATGGGGAGGCACTTTTTTGGGGGTGGCCAGGTGTCCCTTTCTAATATCCTGGCACTCTTGCAGGGGGCTCACTCAGTGGGTCTGATGTGGTGGATGCTGGCCCGGGAAGTTCTGCGCATGCGCGGCACCATCTCCCGTGAACACCCATGGGAGGTCATGCCCGATCTCTACTTCTACAGAGACCCTGAAGAGGTGAGCTCCTCCGCAGACACCTATGGTCCCATGAGCAAAGTGGACTCCTTGGTCTGCTTCTGGGAAGTAAAGTGTGTTGGTCCCTGTGAACTCTTTTTTTTTTTTTAAACCAGATTGAGAAGGAAGAGCAGGCAGCTGCTGAAAAGGCTGTGACCAAGGAGGAATTTCAGGGCGAATGGACGGCTCCGGCTCCTGAGTTCACTGCGGCACAGCCTGAGGTCGCTGACTGGTCTGAAGGCGTGCAGGTGCCCTCTGTGCCTATTCAGCAGTTTCCTACTGGTAGGTATCAGGACACAAGGGCACCAGGGTGCTGGTTCGGAATGTCTCTTTTTTTAATCTAACTTGAATGACCTTGGCTATGTTAAAAGGTTTGTCCCAGTATGTTATGGCTGTGCTAATAAGTTGACATTGAATTCAAGTGCATTTGATGAACTGATCTGGTTTTGGTTTGTCCTTGAAATTTGTGTCTGATAGAATGCAAGGCGGGTGGTGAGGTGAGAGATGTACAATGGGAACAGAGCTGATGGGGTGTTTTTTGTGTTTTCTTAACAGAAGACTGGAGCGCTCAGCCTGCCACTGAAGACTGGTCTGCAGCCCCCACTGCGCAGGCCACTGAATGGGTAGGAACAACCACTGAGTGGTCTTAAGCTGGCCTTCCACAGACTCTTCTAACGGAATGGAAATAAGGCTGGTGGAAAATAAACAGTTTCTAAAAGTTGTGTCCACTTTTTTTAAGATTTTCATTGCAGGTCAGATGCCTGGGATTACCGTAGGTCTCTTGACTTCAGTAAAATGGTCATTGTTGGTATTTCACTTGGGTGTTTTCCTGAGCTTCCTTCTTGTGTAAGGATACTCTGTGTTCTGAAAATAGATGGGAATAGCTGCACATGCATTAACCCCAGAAATATTTTTCCAAGAGCTTATATTAACATCTGTATTTGGTAAATTCTTTCAGGTTCAGATTTTGAAGGAAATTGGCTTTCATTGACAGCCCCTACTGTTTGCCACTTGGGTGGCCAATTCTGAGTAACATCTGTCTTTATAGAAGACTTGAGCAAAGGTGGGGTATAGTCCTCCGTCCTGGATCCACTGAAGGGGTCACAGCCTTCCCAACTGCGAGAGACATCTGTCTCCTTTTTCCTGGTCAGCTTGTCTGCAGGTTCTGGGAGAGTTAAAAGTATAAAATTTTCATGTGATACTATATAAATCCGAATTTGCCATTTCCTGTGCATTTTAATTCTATTAAAAATGTGGGGCTCTACTGATGTCACAGTTCCTCTCAGCCTCTTGAAAACCAAACCATTGTCTTGAGAATGGAGGAATTTAGGGTGGGTCCAAGGTTTGAGCAGCTTCGGTGATTTACGTTGATTCATTTATTTTGCCTGTGGAAAATTTACAAAAATGTCCCTGTGACATTCTCTGGGCCCCTTGCAGTGGTGCAGGGGAGTGAGGGGAGCCCGGGGGCTCGAGCAACATTAGCTTTGTAGCAAGTTGGCCCCTGGCTGTGTGCAGGAGAAAGCGTGGACGAGTCAGCCATGTTCCTTCAGAGCTCCAGTGTGTGTGGAGTCGGAACCCATGGTGTGAAGCGGTCGGCAACAGTTGGAGTAGTTGCTGGAATCAGGATGGCTGAAGGCCAGGGGTGAGTACTGAGGGATGCAGAGTTCATTTGTTAGCATGTTCTTGGGTGGAGGAGGCTGTTCAGGGACCAAGGAACAGGAAAACAGGCAATTCATCTGTGGAAACTACATCCTGTTACCACAGATAGATGACTCCTTGGCTGTTGGTCAGCGTAGAACGAAGGATCATTCTGAGCTGGCTGGTTGTGTTGAAGTGTCATCAAAAAGTGGGTTTGATTCCAGCCCATGTAGGAGGCAACTGAATGATGTTTCTCACATTCTATTTCCTCTGTAAAATAAAGAGTGAAAAAAGACTTCTTTCAAAGATAATTCCTGTTAATGTTGGGTCCTGCTTCATTGTGCTTTTGTTGATCCTGGGCTGACATCAGTAAAGATAATCAGGGCTCCTGCACTGGGACGAGCTGACACTTGACCCCTCTGAACCCTTTTCCCAGCTGGGCCATGACTGGGACTTCAATCTGACTTTGTGGCATCCCCCACCTTTGATGCCTGACTTCCTCATCCCCGCCCCCTTCCCATGCTGCCCCGCGGGGGCCCCCCCCACCTTAATGTCTGATCACCCAGGGGGCTTGAGCAAGGATCTGTTGAGACGATTTAGCCAGAAAACAATTACCCCTGCTATTTCCTCTTAGTAATTTTCCATTTGCTGATTCCCTCAACCTCCTTTTGGGCTGTAAATGC